ATCTCGTCCAGCTCGATGATGAAGGCCAGCGCGATGGCGTTGAGGACCAGCTCCTGGGGAAACCGAAATGTCGGCGGCACGAGAGGGGGGAAGTGAGAAGGAGAAGACATTCTCAGAAGGCGGCGGGACGTCTCAGAAGCCCCCTCGCCTTCTGATAGGTGTTTTCTGTCTTCGGGGAAAGTTCAGAAAACTTCTCAATAGGCCGGGGAACTTCCGAGCCTTATGAACAGGCCTTCTCCTTCTCACTTTCCCCCCTCGCTCGCCGCCGAAGGTACCGATACTGCTACTCCCCAGACCTCTCCCGGGGTGCGTTCTGACCAGGATTCCGAGGCGAATCCAGCGGTGTCGACGAGGGCGTCCCAAGATGCCCAAAGAGGGGGAAAACGGGCGAGGGGCAGCAGTATGGGCACCTTTTCCTCCTCCTCCCCGGACTCCGACATCGCCGAAGAGGTGGCGAGGAAGAGCGTGCCGACAAAGCCCACGGACATCGCCAGCAGCACCCTGGGCACCGCGATCCCGAAGACCGCCCATGCGAGCCGGCCTCTGCTCACCGCCGTCAGGCGCGTGACCACGGTGAGCGCCACGAGGGAGCCCGTCGGGAGCCCGAGCCTCGCGGCCCGGCTCGGCGCCTTGTGAAGCGAGTCGATCGCGTCCAGGCCGTCGCTCGTGCTGTCGGCCGTGATCACCTCCGTGCGGTCGCTGCGCGGGATCTGCATGACCGAGCGCGCGAAGCTGTAGGCGGCGTTCACCTCCTTGTAGGGAACCGCGCTCTGCACACCGACGCTTTTCCCGGCCCTGCGCTGACACTACCACAGGAAAGCGGATCCTGGTGTATACGGGATCCTGCTGCATACATGTTTCGTGGTTCCCCAGGAGACGGACAAAAAAGCATGCACCACACCACTCCGCCGTCGTCCCCGACCCTCGCAGGGATTGAAAAACGGCCCGCCACTGGCAATGTACAGATGTGTTCCGGCTTACGACCTTGATCATGGAGCCGAGCCAGCACAGCTGCGCCAGGAGGCTCAGCAGCGGGCCGCCGACGGAGAAGGCCATGGGCCGAGGAAGCCACGAACGGCACAGACCCGAAAGCTTTTTCGGAGCTCTCCGCGCGGCTGCCTTGGATCGGCGCCGGACCTTTCCTCGAGGTCGGGCCTGCCCCCCTACAGGGGGATTTTGGGCGGAAAATAAAAAATACTCCATAAATGCTCCCAAAGTGCTCAAGAATAGTAAAAAAATGGTCCCCGTACTATTGTTTGAACGATTTTCACCCAATCAGAGCTTGCCTCTGTAGGGGTCCTAGCGGATTCATATGGTATGGTTAGGTTAGGTTTGCCGTCGATTTTCGCTGCACGCCCGGGTGCACGGGTGCCCCGGGGTGGGGTGCCCGAGTGCCCGGGGGTGCCCTATAGCCCTATAGCCCTATAGCTCCATAGCCCTATAGCCCTATAGCCCAATAGCCCTATAGCCCTATAGCCCTATAGCCCTATAGCTCTATAGCCCTATAGCCCTATAGCTCAATAGCACTATAGCCCTATAGCCGTATAGCTCTATAGCTCTGTAGCCCTGTACCCCTATACCCTATTAGCCCTATAGTCCTATAGCCCTGTAGCTCTATTACCCTGTAGCCCAATAGCCCTATAGCCCATATAGCCCTATAGCCCTACGGTCCCCAAAAAAATTGGTTGGGGCTTTTCTCCGGTATCATTGAATATTCCTCCTGTAGAGGGACAGGCCCGACTTAACCTTTCCCTGGCGAGCAGGGCGCGCCAGGAGAGGCGCTGGAGGCGCCGCCCCGCGGGGCCCAGCGCCGATCCAGGAAAGCCGCGCGTATCTCCGAAGGTGCGCGTTTGTGCAATTCGCTCTTCTTCGAATGGAGTCGAAGTAGAGCGTCCTCTCGGCGGCGAGCGAGGGGGGGAAGCGAGAAGGCGAAGGCCTCTAAGAAGGCGGCGGGACTTCTCAGAAGCCCCCTCGCGAGTCTTCGGGGAAGGCTTAGGAAACTTCTCTCAGAAGGCCGGGGGACTTCCGAGCCTTCTGAGCAGGCCTTCTTCTCCTCATCTCCCCCCCATCGCTCGCCGCGGACAAAAGGTACCGATACCGCTACTCCCTGGACCTCTCCCGGGGTGCGTTCTGCCCAGGACTTCGAGGCGAATCCAGCGGTGGCGACGAGGGCCTCCCAGGATGCCCAAAGAGGGGGAAAAAACGGGCGAGGGGCCGCGGTATGGGTAGCTTTTCCTCCTCGGAGCTCCGACCTCGCCGACGAGGTGGCGAGGAGGAGCGCGCCGACAAAGCCCCCCCCCGCTCGCCGCCGATCCTCTGCGCCCCAGCCATGTGCAGCTTGAAGCTGTCCGCGTCGCTGCAGACCTGTGCGGCCATCGACCGCTGCAGCACGGTGTCCGAGTACTCGACGCTGTGCGCTAGGCCAACCCTGAAGCGGAGGAGGCCGTCCAGGGTGTCCGTGGTCACCTGAGGGGCAGTGTGTTTTTGAAGCCGGATCCGGCTTGAAACCGGATCCGGCTTAAAAAAACGCGTGTTTGTTGCACGTGCTTATTAATCTGGATCCGGCTTCAAAAACACATGTTGATTAGGCCGGATCTGGCTTCAAGAACGGACAGTGTGCGTTTTACACCAGATCCGGCTTCAAAAACACGCGACAAAAAGAAACGGATCTTACGCGAGATGGCATGCGACCTTGCGCGGTGGCTTGCGCGGGCCGCCAGCGCGGCACACTGCGATGACGAGAGCGCTTGCGCGCGACCTCACGCAGGCAGCCTACGCGCGAACGTCGGCGCAGACGACCCCGTTGTTTTGCGCCGCTCAGTTTCGGCGGCGGGCGAGGGAAGGAAGTGAGAAGGAGAAGGCCTTCTAAGAAGGCTCGGGAGTCCCCCAGCCTTCTGAGAAGTTCTCTACGCCTTCCCCGAAGACAAACAAGAAAAAACTTCTCAACAGGCGCGAGGGGCCTCTGAGAAGCCCCGCCGCCTTCTGAGAAGGCCTTCTCTAGATCAGAAAACGACATAAACGTAAACTTTTGACTCTCCGCTCGGATTTCTTGGATCCGCGCTGGACCCCCTCCCTGGCGCGGAGCGCGCCAGGGGCGGCGCCGGAGGCGCCGCCGGGGAGGCCCAGCGCGGATCCACGAAATCCGCGCGGAGCGCCAGAAGTTTCTGTTTATAGCGTTTTCCTTCTTCGATTCTCCTTCTCGCTTCCCCCCCCCCTCGCCCTCCGCCGAGAGGACGCTCCACGCGGCGATTCCCCACCTGTGTGCGCGGGCCTCGGCTCTCTCGGCGCCGGCGCTGCTCTCGCAGGGGGCGCGGGCGCCGTTGTCGTCGGTCGTCGTCAGTCGTCGTGGCCAATGTCGTCGATGTCGTCGATCGTCGGTCGGTGTTGCCGCGGCGGCCCGCGGCGACCGCCCTGAGTATACACTGCACCCCCTCCTCCTCCTCCTCCTCCTCTTCCTCCTTCTCCTTCTCCTCCTCCTCCTCCTCCTCCCTTCCTCCAGCTTCCTGGTTCCTCCCTCGCCATTCTCCTCCCTCCCTCCCCCTGGCGCCGGCCTGTGGCTCGACCATGAAACTCCAGGCGATCATCACGAACGCCAGCTGCACGAAGAAGTTCAAGACGTACATCGCGACCATCACCTGGGGAGGGACCTCCCCGGGCCCACCTTGGCCCTCAGACCACAGTGTGCCAACACCCGATCCCAGGCCAGGGAGCTGGATGCACCAAGATCCAGCCAGCGCTGGGCCTGTGAACGCCTGATGGTGGTGTCCCAGATTCCCTCGCGTCGTGAAGAAGATACAGCGCGGGCAGGTGTTTGCCATTTCCGGCCTCTGGGGACCCTTGCCAGGCCCCTGGACCATCAAAAAGTGACCCAGGATGAAAAGCTGGCCATGGGGAAGAGCTCCAGACCTCCAGGGGCCCACGCTGTGAAAAAATCATGACAAGGGGGGTCTGGACTGTGCACGCCTCGTCGTCGTCCTCCTCCTCCTCCTCCTCCTCCTCCTCCTCCTCGTCCTCCTCCTCCTCCTCCTCCTCGTCCTCCTCCTCCTCCTCCTTCTCCTCTTCCTCCTCCCCCTCCCCTTCCTCCTTCTCATCGTCCCAATCCTCCTCCTTAATAGAAAAGCATATGCATAAATACATATACATGTTCGGAGGTCTGGGCAGATTTCTTGGATTCACGCTAGACCCCTCTGGCGCCGCAAGGTGGGCCAAGCGCAGATCCGAGAAACCCACGCGGACATCCAAAAGAGTGTATATGTATACAGTTTGTTCTTCGTCTTCGACTCCTAGAGGCTTCCCAGATGGGGTCGGAGCAGATATGGTCGGAGGATCGCGCCGCATCGGCGATGCATCACCTCTGCATCGGCGATGCATCGGGCAACATCGAGTTGGAGAAAATCAGGCTCCACATCCAGCCACCTCGCCGAGGCCGCGTCGACTTTGCAGCGTTGCCAACTTGCGGCAATCACACACTCGTGTTGGCGGGCATGCTGTGTGAACCCTCTCGGGAGCCCTCGGAGGGAGCCCTCGGGAGCCGAACGGGGCTGGTGTGACCCCGTGTTGGAGAGCGTTTTCGCATGTTTCTCGATTACGGCCGTTACCAGCCCCAGCCGCCCCCCCAAGGTAACGTCCCGATTCGCGTTGACCTCCGAGTTGGCTTTGGTCATTCCGAGGCGTTCCCGAGCGGTGCCAGTGCGAAACGTGACGTTAGCGGCCCCCCGCCCACCTCCCCCCCCTGGTAACGCCTGCTATCGCCTGGGAACGAAAAAAGACGCTCTCTTGGCCCCGTGGCCCAACGGGGCCATGTAAGCCCGTGCTGGCCATGGCCACCGCTCGCTCCGACATAACCCCGTCACGCGAACAGCATGGGCGGCGGCGATATGCGGCGCGATGCTCCGCCCCCAGTCTGCTCGGGCCCCGTCTGGGAGGCCTCCGCATCATGAGAGCTCCGCCCGACCACCGTGGAGACCAGGCTGCCCAGGGGGGCGATGCCCAGGAACAGGCAGCCGTCCCAGACGGACTCGTTCACCTTTTGCGGGGACGGCGCCCCTGCACCGTATACTGCGGGCTCGTGTCGTGACGACCGGCATTGGGTTTAGGAATGAGACGAGGAGGAGTAGGAGGAGGAGGAGGAGGAGGAGGAGGAGGAGGGGGAGAAGGAGCAGGAGGAGGAGGAAGAGGAGGAGGAGGAGGAGGAGCAGGAGGAAGAGAAGGGACGAGCTTTATTCCCCGCCGAGAGAAACAGGGGGGGCAAAACAAAAGACTTACCTGCGTTAACGATGGGCAGTTTCCGAAACAGCAAGTCGTTCAACATCGATCGATTCTCGGTCGATGGTGGTGGGGTCGCCCTGGTCGACACGACGCGAACCGACAGTGCCGTGTTTGGACTCCAACGCGGTATGGTGTATGATTTGTTGAGGGTGAGGATGGGAGCGGGCAAGATGCCCCCACAGCGGGTGCCAGAACGCGGGTGCCGCCAACCACCGAAGGCCAAGGTGAACACATCGTGATAAGGGGCTGGGGAGGCACAACACAAGCGAGAAAGCGGCCGCACTCGAAAGCCGTTTTCTCCCTCGCTCCGCGTGTGGAGCAAGCGCGCACTACGCCGAGGGAGAGGAGACATGGTGTTTCGGCTCCCCAAACCGCCGACGTCGTGATTTGTTCGCAGCGTCGAACCCCAGAGGTATGGACCCCTTCCCCAGGACCAGTTTTTCATCCCGAGTCGTTTTCTGACGGTCCCGAGGTCTGGTAAGGGCCGCCAAAGGCCAAAAAGAGCGAAACAACTCCCGTCTTGATTTTTCACCACGCGAGGGGGTCTGGGTCTGAGGGCCGCCAAAACGCGGCAAACGGTGCGCACGAGTCGTCCGCGGCTCACCTCGTACATGTCCCCGACGTCCAGGCGGTGCGCCGTCAGCACGCCCAGGGGGATCAGGGCGTCCCGCTTGCCCTCCTCGCCCAGCCTTCCGTCGCCCACCTTCGGGACGATGGGAAATGGGTACGGAAAGAGTGGGTACGATGCCCAACAGCAGTTCCTGTTCGTTTTGAACAGGACTCGTTGT